AAAATTGACGTTTTCTTTTGTGGTCAGAAAGCAGAGATCCATAGGGTAATGGACACTTCTGGTCCTGGATAGTCAGGGGAGCTGGTCAGTGAAGTCAGGGGACAAGGCCTTGGGGAAGAGGGAACCTCACCAGGTACTGCAGGAAGAGAACTCAGCTCAGATGAAGCCGAGACATTTTCAAACTCAGAAAAGGAGATGCTGCCACAGAAGATAGTTCAGAGGGGAGGTGAGATCCCCTAAGACTTCATTCAAATAATAATATCAGGAAGTTATTCCAAGTTGAAATGTTAAGGATTGGAAACCACTAAGAGTGCCAAACTCTCTGTCCAGGGTATCGTCCAGGGATCTTACTCTTTAAAAGACAAGACAGAAGAGAACTGCTAAAGATGAGAGAACAAATTTGGTTTGTGGAATGCAGGCAAAGTAGGCTCAAGCTCCTGCACTGTAGGCCAGGATCCTTGCTACCCATCAGTGGGAGGATCCAGGTGAATTTCCAAAAGTAGCTTAGATGAGAAGAAAGACAAAAATCAGGTCAGTAGATGAAACACTTTCAGTGAGGCTAGTGGTTACTATATTGGTCAACACATGCAGCATATTTCTATCATTCCAGAAAGTTGGACAAGATATAATACCAATAATCCCAGAACAGAAGCTTGAAACAGGTGCCAGACACAAACAAACCATTCAGCAGTCAATCCATTGGGAGTATCAATGGCCCTCAGTGACACTATTTAAATTCTCAATGCATAACACCTAGAGGAGCACTTTGACCTTCCCAGTAGGACAATGGTAGATCTTAGATATGAGCATTTCATCTCTCTCGTATATTCCTACATTCACTTGAGAATTTTATTAATCCTCACTTGTAGTAAGACCGATCATTTTAACATTTTAACTTACTATAATTATTGTTGATGAGATCAACATGATCTGGTGCCTATGCACCACAGTTACTCCCAGGCTGTCTAATTCCTTCTCTTCATGAAGAGAAGTGACCACTCAGCCTTGTCAATAGCTGTTCACAGGAATGCTGCCACAGGGAACAGTTGCACACAGCTGTCCTTGCTATCATATGCCCAGTCCCCACTTTGGAACCATCCCCAGTCAACAAGCTGTAGAAGTCTTGGCTCCGAGGGGCTGTAAGGCTGACCTGGTTACTTCCCAGAGGTAAGTCCAGGGACTGGATTTACGAGGCAAGAAGGGCCAAAGCTGGGATCAGATGCCAGGCCTGAACCCTATCCATCTCTCAGGTCCTAGTTCTGATGTTAGAAGAACACCAGTATCTACACAGAGAGCCCTCCCTCTCACACTCTAAACTGGATTCAAATGAAGCCTGGAGATGATAGAAGAGGTCAGAAGAGCCCACTGGCACCATCCTTGGGTATGGCACCATACCCAAGGCTACTTTTTCAGTTAACAGAATAAGCTTCCATTGGGAGCCACTGTGCAGCAGACGAGGGACACATTAGACATGGTGCCACCTGTAAGGACCTTAAAATGTCAGAAAATAGAAATACACAAATGCTTAAGGAAAAGACTTTCATGTCCCTTAACAGGCACCCAGGTAGAACTATATTTGGATTCTAGGTTCTTGTGGGGCAGCAAGAGTCTGACTAAACACTCTTCCATTTTCCATTAGTGCTTGACATCAGACGGGGATGGAGAGCCTCCAGGCAGAGTAGAATGAGCATTTCGGTTCTTACTGTGTAGCCTTGGGTCAGTTATTTCACTTCAAGCGATACCAGATTTAGCAAATAAAAACACAGTTAAATTTGAACTCAAGATGAACAATGAATAATAATCAAAGATTTCATGGAACATATTTACACTAAAACATATTCTTTGTTTTCCTGAAATTCAGATTTTACTGCGTGTCCTGTATTTTATCTTGGTGCTATTAATTTCTCTGTGCCCTTTTCATCATCTATGCAATTAGAATTTTTAAAAAATTGAAAAAAAGACTAACCCTTCTTTATTATATTATTATTATTTTTTAGTTAAATTAATCAAACTTTAAAAGTTTTTTTCCTAGCAGTAGTTTTTCTGTTTTTTAAATTGATTTTATTTATAAAATACATGACAGCAAAATGCATTATAATTTTTATTACACATATAGAGCACAATTTTTCATATCTCTGTTTGTATATAAAGTATGTTCACACCAATTCATGTCTTCATACATGTACTTTGGATAATGATGTCCATCACATTTCATCATCATTGCTAAACTCCTGCCCCTTGTTTTCTCCTCCCATCCCTCTGCCCTATCTATAGTTCATCTATTCCTCCCATGCTCCCCTCCTCCTCCCTACCCCACTTTGAGTCAGCCACCTTATATCAGAGAAAAAATTCGGCATTTGGCTTTGGGGGATTGGCTTATTTCACTTAGCATTATCTTCTCCAACTCTATCCATTTACCTGTAAATGCCATGATTTTATTCTCTTTTATTTCTGAGTAATATTCCATTGTGTATATATGCCACATTTTTTTTTATCCATTCATCTACTGGATGGCATCTAGGTTGGTTCCACAGTTTAGCTACTGTGAATTGTGCTGCTATAAACATTGATGTGGCTGTGTCCTTCTTTATGTTTAATGAGGATTAAATTAGTTGCAATATGGGAAACCTTGGCATATTACAAGAACTACTAAACAATAGCCTTACCTTCCTGACACCAAAAGTGAAATGGACTTAAAAAATGAATCCTGTACAATAGATAGCTTTCTGGGATCTAGAGTATTGAGGTTTGGAAGAGAAGATATTGACCTGGCTCCTCCATCCATGAAGTTCTCCCAGGTAGATTCTGATGTGTGTGTAGAAAATGCATGCATCTCGGCAAAGCCCACAAAGTAGTTTCAGTCATGCCCATGTTGGGAGGTAGAGAGGATGTCGTGGTGAGGGGTAGAGGGTTAGAGGAGAGGAGGACTGCTGCCCTTCCTGCTCCTGACAATCTAATTCTGTGCACTGGATTCATAATATCAGAATATTCTCAAGTTAGCGCCAGGGCTTATCTTGAGTTGTCAGGCAAAATAAAGATGTTTCAAATGCACCCACCATTTAACACCGTGGAAAGGGAGAATTGCATTTTGTCAGACTATGCTATCTTCTTAGAAGTTACATTATTGTCATTAGTTTGCTCTTCTCTGGTACCTACACTTAGAAAACTAGTGAAAAACAGAAGTCTAGCTGTAAGAAAAGTGTGAGTTGTGATTAATTCAAGCTCTACCTGAAAGGTGGCAGGCCGAGGATCACACTTCTGTCTTGATATCCATCCTATAATAGAAAATAAAGAAGTGTTGTAGGGTGAGAGGAGAGATGGAAGGAGAGCTCTCACAGCCATTTCTGAAAAAGTTACTACTAGAATAAGACTAAAATTGTAAGAATCATAATTTAAGGCAGCAGTTTTCAAAACGATGTAAGGACCAAAGTATGTTATGTGCGTGTGCAAATGTCACAGTGAAACCCATTATTCTGTGTAATTAGACTGTCCCAACTGAAAACATTATCAGGAGACATCTAAGGTCCTCAAGACCCTTTCCAAGGGTTCATGAGATCAAAATAATTTTCACAATAATACTTTGGGGTTTTACTTTTTAAAACTCTCTCATGTTGTACAGTGGTTCCTAGAGGTTAAATATTAATAATTGTCTAAAAGGGTTATTAAAATATTTCCCTCTTTTCCTGCTATGTATCTATATAGGAATACAGCTGTCTTCTCCTACAGGAGGTGCTAAAATGTAAAGCAAAGCCATTCTTCTTACTGAACATTTTTAGAACTCCATAATTATTTTGCATAACCGTTTTTGTTTATGTTAGCATACCATGGATTTATTATTTTTATTCTTCTGTGAATAAGTAATTTTCTGAATTTCTTGGTTTTAATAATCTAGTAAAGCCAGTATTGATAGGTCACATAAAACAGATATTTGAGGGCCTCAATCTTTTTTTAAGAACGTAAAGGTGTCTAGAGACTATTAAGCTTGGTGATCATCAATTTAGGGGATATAAAAAAAGAAACTGGACACAGAGGCCTGTACCTGTAGGCCCAGAGACGGCATGCAGGCCCGTCCTGTGCTACATAGCAAGATTCCATCTTAAAAAAAAAAAATTATTCAAATGCACGCAACTGATGAGGAAAATTGCATTGTTTCTTATGGAGTTGGGACCTCATTTGTTCTTATGGATACAAATAACACCATAAATAAAAGTCCCCAAAGTGAATTTCAGCCCAGTAAGAACTCTCCATTGGCCTGAACTTTGCCAAGAAAAAAGGGACGTCCTTATCAAGGACTGAGCTCCTCTCCCCGGCAGCATGTAAGCAGTCTTGGGATGGGATAGCTTAAAGGCTTTAATGGCCCCTTATACCCTAAACATCTAACTTGAGGAAAGATCCCAAGTGACTTTTGTAAAAGTCAAAGGCAGAGCCTTATAGGCCCCATTCTCTTTACGGCCTGTCAATCTGAACCACTGAAGGAATGATTCTCACATATTGCTTGTAATAACCCCCCTCTGCGTGGGGCTTTGGGGTTGAAACCCTTTACTTGATTTATTTAAAGTGATTGTACCAACTGCCCCATGAGTTAGACACTTCACAGAGGAGGTTCCACGAGGTGATGTGACTTGCTCAAAATGACACAGCTGCTATATGACATATCCTCCTGGCCCTGAGCGCTTGTATTCTTTCCTATGTATCCCCGCCACCTCTGCACCTACCCGAGGATGGGGTGACCCCCCCCAGAATCAAAAGCCCAGCTCTGACATCTCTTCAGTCCTCCTCACATGGCTCATGCCTATTGAGACCATCTGTCCAGCTTGGCTCCTCCCAGGTCCTCAGTATGATGTCCTTGCCCCCTTCAAAGAGTCCCTTACTACAGCCCCACCCCCTCCCGGATGAATTCCCTCCTGGGCTCTTGGAAGCCTGAAGGCTCACCTCTCCCAGGCATGCTAATGAGCTCTTTAAAGCCAAGTGAGTCTCAAGTCTGCAAGCCCAGGAGCTGAGCAGGGGCAGCCTGGGCAGGAACAGCAAGTGTCTCTTCTCCCTCTGCTCCCTGCCCTCCACTCAGAGGTTACTGCCTCTTTGGAGTGGCACTTCCACCTGCCTGCAGCCACCCTTCATTGGGCAGGAATCCCATCAGATTTTACAAGCCAGGCCGGGTCAGATCTGGTGAGCACGTGAATGGAAATGCCCAGGACAACAGGCACTTTCCCTTGGGAGACGGGGGAGCCAAGTCACGAGCTGGCCGTGCCAAGGCACCAACAGGAAAGCACCGAGCCTCGAGCCTCGCAGCAGCAGACCCCAGAGAGCCGCCACTGGAACTAGCCGGAACTTCCAAAGACAGTCCTCAGAGAAACACTTCAGTTCTGATGACTCTCACGTCACTTCATATTGGAGTGCCAGGAAGCAAGTGAGCAAGTGGTGAGTATTTGTAGAGCAGGGTAGGAAAACTTTTTGTGTAAAAGGCCAGACAGTAAATACTTTGGACTTTGTGGGGACAATAGTCTTTGCTGCAATTACTCAACTCTACCATTGTAGGGTGAAAACGCTTGGCGGCAATATGTAAAGGAAGGGCATGGCTATATTCCAGAAACTTCTGTTCACGACACTGAAATTCGAGTTTAACATGATTTTCACACTTCATGAAATCTTCTCCTTTTGCTTTTTGTAAAACCAATTATTAGCTCATAGACTGTGGAAAGACTGGTGGGCCAGTCTCCTGGCCTCCATTCTGTGGCAATACTTCTCAAAATATATGTGGTAAATGGCCCACTTTTTAAGAAATTCAAGCCTTCTTAGATGCTTTTGTAAATTTATATCAAAATTGAATACTATAAAACAAAATAAAAACTAAAGCAGTGCACTGGTCAAATTGCTACCAACAATTTGAAGGTACACTCTTGATGTATAGACTTTTCTCAGGAGGGATGTGTAAACACATCTTGAAAGTTACATCCAAAGTAACTGCTTTGTTGGTGTAGAGTCAGTGAGAAAATTGATTATTTAAATTGTCGTCTCGTATTTTAAAGTGCTTAGAGTCTGTGGCTTACATACACAGGCAAAAAGCCTCCTGCCCACCCTGCTTACCAGTTCTTAAATGGCCTCTCTCATGGGTTAGAGAGGGCACACTTATTAGGAGCTAAAATTCTATCATGATAACCATTGCTACTCAGTATTTTTCTCAACCTAGCATTCTTCTTCACACTCCTATTAACCTGTCTGGGAGGTCTGAAGGTAGGTCTTACCAGGGTTCTGCAATCTGCTGTTTGCCTCCTTGCCCACTCTGATGTCAGGACTCAGATGTCTATCACAGCTTCTACCCTTGGCACACCAGCAAGAGTATGGTGGCCGTTCTTCTTTCCTTCCTGAAGTTGAGTCATTCCGTTTTAATCCTAAGCAATCCTGTCTACACTGAGTTGAACTATTTCTAACTTACTCCACCAGTTTTCCCAAGAAAAGAAAATCATGACCACAGGCACCCTCTGACTCTCTCTCTAATAGGGTTCATAGAAGACCAGCCTTTCATATTTCTGCATTCTTGTATTTCAGCCCCATTTCCCTAGGAGACAGGTCACACCAGGGGTAATCAGAGCATCAGAGCTGATCTGTGACCAGAGCCCTGAGACTACTCAATCTGCTCCAAGCTTGGATGACCTCCTTGCTCCTTCACAGGTGGTTCTAGAGTGCCCTATGATAAGACCTAACTGGCCTTAAAGATAAACCCAGACAGGTCTAAATATTTGAATGACTATAACAAAGGAAAATGCAGAGAGAAATCTCTTTGGAGCACAAGGTTGTCCCACTGGCCCAGAAATCATTTAGTCTGTAGGTTTCATGTTGGGTTCCATGAAGCCCTAATTACTGTGGTGGTGATGAAATTGATATTTTCAATCGTATTTTAAAGATATAATTTGCATGCAATACAAAAAATAAACTCATGTTATAACTGTAAAGTTTGATATGTTTTTGGCAAAATGCGTGCACCCAGGTGGCCACGATCCTGATCAAGATAGAGAGCATTACCATTAGCCCAGAAAGCTCCTCTGTGCCCCTGGGCAGCCCATTACCAACTTGAGTCCCAGCCCTAGGCAACCTCTTCCCGTTTTCTGCGCTATAGATGTCTTCTTTTTCATCTCTGGAATTTAGGGTCAACCAATTCATTCAGCATCTACTCTGTTATATATAAGGCCTCATTTACACAGAGAGAGATTTTTTGAGATTCATCCACATTTCTAACTTGTATTAATAATTTGCTTCTTTTTATACTGAACAGAATTTCGTCGTGTGGACCACAATTTTCTCATTCATTTGCCAGTTATTTTAACATTTGTTTGGTTTCCAACTTGGGAGTCTTGTGAATGAAACTGTTATGAACATTCATTTACGAATTTGAAGCAAAAATACCTTTTTATTTCTCTTAAGGAGGAAAACTGCTATATGGTAAATAGAAGTTATGCATAGTTATGTGGTAAATTCATGTTTAACTCTCTTTTTAAAATGTTGCCGAAAATGCTCCAATGTTCTTTGACCCCTTTACATTCGACGTATGGGAATTCTGATTGCTCCAGAACCTCACTAACTCTTAATATTGTAGGTCCTTCTACTTTAATCCATCGTAGTGCATGTGTAGAGCTATCTCATCAAAATTTAATATGCCATTCTCTGGTGATTAATGTTAATGTGTGCTTATTTGTGGTTCCCATATCTTCTTGTATGAAGTGCCTATTTAACTCTTCTGTACTTTTTTTTTAAAAAAAATGGAGCTTTGTATCTTCTTACTTACTGAGTTATAATTTAAAATGAGAGAATAAGGGAGGGAGGGAGGAAGGAAGGAAGACCGAAGGAAGGGAGGGAGGGAGATAGATACACACATATCCTGAATGTGGCGATTAATTTTAAATGTGAATTTGATTGGATCATGGGGTACCCTGATATTTGAATAAACATCATTTCTGAGTATACACTTCTGTGAGAATGTTTCCTGTGGAGATTAATATTTGAATTTACAAACTCCATAAACTAGATGGCTCTTCCCAGTGTGGGTGGGCACCATCCAATCCACTGAGCACTTAAAAAGAACAAAAAGTTGATAAAGAATTTACTTTGCTAGATTACTTGAAGCGGGCTGTCAGTCTCTTCCTGCCTTTGGGCTGAAATCTTAAAACCATCTGCTCCTTTGATTCTCAAGCCTTCAGACTTGTACTGACCTATGCCACCAGTTTTCCTGGGTCTCCAACTTGCAGACAGCAAAGCGGACGATTCAGCCTCTATAATCACAAAACAATTCCTCATAATAAATTTCATCTTTATGAAATACATAAATATTTCATGTATGTTCATACACAGTCCACACACACACAAACACACACACACACACACACACACACAATTGGTTCTCTTTCTCTGTAGAACCCTGACTAATAAGGCCCTTTGTTTGATACACGTTGTGTAATTGTTTTTTCTAGTGTGTGGTTTGCCTTTTTATTTTCTAAATACAGTCTTGTAAAGATTAAAAGAATTTTATTTTGGTGAAATAATGTTTTTCATTTTATTCCTTATGGCTAATATTCTTTGTGTTCTGAGAAATTTTGCCCAAGCCAAGTTGGAACAGATTCTCTCTCATATTTTTTCTAGAAAACCTAGAGCATTATTTATCTCTTTGGAATATGTGATACATTTCAAATTAATTTTCGTTGGTTCTGTGAGGCAAGAATCAAGGATTTTTTTTTTAAGTGGCCTTCCCACTGTTCCAGTGCCATTTATGGAGATTATTCTCTTCCTCCTTGAATTGTCTGGGTCCCTTTGATAAAAATCAATCAGCCATATATTCTAGACTGCCCAGTCCATTCCAATGACTTATATGTTTATTATATTATTACCATACTGTTATGATGATAACTGTATGTTAAATGTTGAAATCAGGTAGGATTTCAACTTTGCTCATCTTTTTCAAAATTGTTTTGATAAATGAAGTCTTTGGTCTTTGCATTTTTAAATAAATCTTAGAATTAAAAAAATAAGCCTGATATTTTTATTGTAATTATATTGAATCAATAGATCAGTTTTGGGAGAATTTAATTCCTATATGAACTCTTCCAAACAATGAACATGGTTTTATCTTTTGATTTTTTAAAAATTTCTCTCTTTAACACAAAGCATTGAAAAGGAGATGGAAATGTTAATTACCATGATTTAATCAGTATATATTGTATCTACTGAAATATCATATTTTATCCCAGAAATATGTAAAGTCATTACATTTTAGTCAAAAATGTTCGAAAAATGTTTGAGGGGATTTATTTAATTTGTACAAACAATGCTTGGTAGTGTCTGTGTAGAAGTCATAGCGTTTGTTATACTTACTATTATATTTATTCTTATAGTTATTTGTTATATAATTATAAAATACTGTCAGCAAAAGGTTGAACAAATAGTGATGTTGTTCTTTCCTGGTTTCCTGATCTGTAGAGAGAATATATATTTAACCTTCCCCAATTGTTATGATATAAGTGGTAGGTTTTTATACAGAATCCCTAACACATTGAGGAAAGCACCTTCTAGTCCTAGTTTTCTGAGATTTTTTTTAATCATAAATGACTGTTGATTTTTGCCAAGTATATTTTCTGTGTCTGTAGAGAAAAACCATACGGTTTTTATTCTTTATAATATGTTAAGAGTCATTGCTTGATTTTTTTTTTTAAAACAATGAACCAATTTTATACTCCTGAAGTAAAAACTACTGGGACATATTATACTGATTTGTTGCACGTTGTTAAATTCAAAATCCTAATACTTTTCTAATAATTTTTGTATCTCTCATCATTATGGTATATTTATAGGATGCTTTAGGGATAACTTGTAGGAGATCTGACACTGAGGAGTTTCACAGGACATGGAATTTTCAGTGTTAAAACTGGTGTAGTCAAACACAAAATCAGAGAGTTGGTTACCCTAGATATTAATTTCTAGATACTAGCCTCTTACTTCATAATATTTTTGTCTGGTTTTGGTATTAAGACAATGTTGAACTGATAAGTCAGAATGTTTTCTTCCACTGCTCTTTTATGAAACATTTTGTAGAACTGGTAAAATTTATTCCTTGATATTTTGATGGAATTTTCTAGAAAAACCACTTATGTCCTGATGGTTCTTTTCGGACAAGTTTTTGATGTTTAATTCAAATGTTTAGTAGATGTAGAGCTGTTTATATTTTCTATATCTTCTTGTTCCATTTGATGGTTTCTCCAAAATAGCAACTCTCTAATAATCCCCAGTACCTATGTATGTGCTATGTTACATGGAAAGAGGGAATAAAGTGGTCCTGCCAGAGCAAAATACAAGTATGTTTATTGTCAAGTACAATCAACATAATGTTTCCCTCTGGAGTAAAGTCATATAGGCTACAATCCAAAAGATCCATG